ATTCAGTAGAACTCAGGAGTGGATGCCAATTCAGAATAGAGCTGTATGCATAAGCATCTCAAAGATTCACATTGTTTGAATGAGGCAGAGTATCATCTGGCAAGCAAACAAGTTATTTTATTTTGTTTTGTTTCTTATTTGCTGTTATGTTTATTTACAATGTTCATAGCTCTAATACTTTCATGGTGCTTACATGAGACAGAAACCTATGAGAAAAATACATCTGAATAAATTAAACAATTCCAGGGCTCGCAGCTTAGTCACTGGAATGTAGAGAATAACAGTTAGATTTGTTTGTTGTACAACTGATTCATGAGAGTGTCATTGATAGGATACAAGGGCATTTTGAAGGAAGAAAGCAAGCCCACATCATTTTAGAATATAATAAAACAAGATTACTTCCAAACTTGCATTTATCTGGAAGACCAAGCAAAAGGGAGATTAGATGCTCACCAATCCATTTTACTTGCACAATTAATTTGCTACTCGAGGGTCACACAATATAGTTTATTCCTGTGCATCTTAAATATAAAATGAAACTGGCATTTGTATATTAATCAAAATTATTAGACTGAAGGGCAAAAATGTTCTGAGACATGAAGGAACTATACAAGGAGACTGGCACTAAGTTTAGCCCTTTCAGAGCTTAGGTCATCCACCCCTCGGCACAAGAACACCTGCTCCCAAGCTGTAAAGAAATAATAGGAAACTTGGTATATTTAACAACATATTTCTACTCTGCAATGGATATGCAAGCCCTAAAAGATCCTAAAAGACCAAAAAAAAGTTGTGAACTGGTCTCCCATGGAACAGAAAGCAATATAATTTGGTCAACTGGCATGAGTATTTCTAGCAGTGCATTGCTTTGAATATTGTTGCCATTTCCTTAGGCCAATCCATTAAGATTCCTGCCCTTGTTGAATTGAAAATTATGCTAATTAGTAAAGCACTTTCTCCCATGTGCTGCCCAGGGTGCTCAACTGAAGCCACGAACTAAGGGAAAGGGAGGAGCCTACATCAGTTCCCTTCTCCTTGAGGTGCCTAGAGACCAAGAAGTAGGCTAGATTGGGGGAGGGTAAGGCAATGAAAATTAATGCAATCCCTAGTAAATCTCTGGAGGAAAGCTGATGGAATCTCATGCTGGAGCAACTCGCAACTCCTCAGAATGGGTGGAGCAGAGACGTAGTAATGCACTGGGGCTGGGAAAGAGGGAACAAAGCAGAAGATACAGCCTTTTAGCAGTTACCTTTTACTATGATTCCTTCTGGGCTGTGAAGTCCCTACAGCTGAAGGCATTACTTAAAAAATCTCAATCAACACATACTCCCAGTCAACTCTCCAAGAATTTATACTGCACTAACCAAAGCTGCTGTAGTAAATTAAGCTCCTGCCATTGTGTGAGTCACATGAGCATTAACCTCAGCTATGGAACACTAGAACTTTGAGAGCTGCAAGATATTTTCCTTTAAGCCTATGACGCAATAGGGTTTTAATCTTCCTGAAAGATTTTTCTGCCTTTGGACCACAACATCAAGATCAGCACTACAAGCTAAACTATTCTGTTTTCCTCTCTACCCTCCACAGAATCAGGTGGATTATGTATTCTGTCCTGAAAACAGAAATCTCATTGCATCCAAGTTAACATTTATTATTAGTTCATGTAGTTGGACAGACTAATGCAGTCTCACAGACTGACAATGGAGGAGAGAGTGGGACCAGTACCAGATGCATGTAGAGCAACAGCACAGAAAAAAACCAAAACATGCCACTTCTGGTATCAAAGGCAACTGAACTACGATATTTGGTCATTTCTATTTTAGAACAGAAATATCCACTGAAAACACTACAGAAAAGTCGCATAAAGGAAGAACAACAAAATTGGTCTGGGCAGAAAAAGAGTAAACTTCTTAGGAAAAGTGAAGATGTGCTCAAAGGGTAGGACTGTCACTCTAAAGCCTGATCTGAACAGTGCTGTATATAGCTCTGCCTTCCAGCTTTGTAATTAATTGACAATGGAAAGACTGAAAAATTAGGAAAAAACTAAGCAGTGAGAGCTGATCCTTGAATGCTGGACTGACACAAGCCATAATACCTCTGGATCCTATTAGCTCAACTAAAGACACCGTATGGTGATGGTCTCACAGTGATCAGCCCCAGGAGAAGGGATTCATCCCCCTCTGGCAAGGGGATCTGAGCATGCTTGGAATTGATTTTAGCACAATCAATGACCACCTCTGTTTCTTCTCTCTAAAACACATGTATTTCAGTATAGATGATGCTACAAAACTATCACTCAAAGCAAAAACATTGTTTCAACCAAACTTGGCATCTATGGAAAGCATACAAAAAAGAGATGACAAGAGGTTTAGCACCAAATAATCTAAGAAATCCTTTCCTCTTCCATTTCTATGACTCCCTGATGATGTACAGTTTACGAGTATCGCTGACAAAATAAGTGGAAAAATAGCTACTGACCATCTTAAAGTTGATGTACAGAGAAGTAGCAACAGTTCTCGCTGTTGTAACCGAGGCAAGAACAGTATTGTCTCCATCACTTTGCCCTCGGGGTGGTTTCTAAAATAATCTGAAGGTGTGAGAGAGCTGAGAAGATACTTAACTTGAAGGAAAAAAGGCACAAGCAATCATTTGTTTTACGGACAACCCAGTCACCGGGTCCACATGACTCCAAAGGTCCTGCAGTCTGCATTGTCACTGTGACCATGCAGGCCTAGTTGGCCCTGTTCCACAAACATGCCTGAACTCAGACAGCTACTGGGAAGTCCTGGTGAGCAACCCTTCCCACACTGCCAGGAGACATGTTCAGAGGATTTAGTTTTCCTTTTCGTTACTCAGACTCCTAGAAATTTAGGACCAAACTATATCTCGAGCACAACATTTTAAAGTTGTTCAGCATAGCACAAAAAGCACCAAAAATTATGTCACTCGCTAAGCGTTTTTATGTGGAAATCAGAAACCTACGAGGTCCAAAGATTGACTTTGTGGGTAAGAAGAGAGCTAAAAAGCCTTTGCTTAATCTCTGTGAAGATAGGCATGGAGATACACATGGCGACAACCTATTTCTGTACAAGTCTTTGCACAGAGCAGTTCTTTGAAACAAGACTGGTTAAAATCTGCTCAAGTCAAGCATGGGTAATCATGCACACATGTAATCTGTGATGAAATCATGATAAAACACGGCTGTTATGAACTAATAGGTAAAATGTTACTTCCCTGAGGGCTACAACAGAAGTAACTCTGACCACACACAAAAAAATTAAGGTTACCTAATATCGTAAACACATGTCTCTGAAAGTTGTTGCTAACAGAGAACATTACATATGATCTCTATAATATCTTCTTCTCAACTTTGCAAGCCTATTGTTGACATGTATGAGGCCTCGAGCTAAGAATTATTTGGACTTTCACTTTAAGCTTGCAGGAAAGCAGAGAATCTCCAAGCAGGCCAGATGAGCGAAGTGAATGCCAACAAACTGCAAACCAAGATGACACAGAGCCATCTGTGCTGACACTCAGGCCGTTGAGAAGTCTCATCTCGCATAAACTGCTGGTCTGACATGGGCCCAGGCAACAGGCATAAAAAACTACTCACACGTTTCTACTTCACATTTCCAAAACCTCAAGCAAACCCCATTTCCTTCTTGTCCCCAGCCCAAGGTTCAGCTAGGAACACGCATATTTCTTGGTAAGACACACGACAAACTTTCACAAGCTGTCTGGGAGCAGAAGGTGGCTAATTGTGCTTCCCGAGCCATGCAAGGCCTAGCCAAGCCCGCCCTCAGCACCACACGGAGCCCTTCGAACTCAACAACCTTGTAAACCCCAGCAGGCTGCCTTCCAGCTCGGCCTTCCCGCAGCAGCTGGCACGTCAGGGTTTTCCTCGCCTCAGGCGCCGAGCAACACCTCGCATTCAGCGGGCAGCAAAGGAGGCCGAGGAAGCAGCAAAGCGCGGCTGAGGGCCGAGGCTGCAGCCCGTGCCAGACCCCGCGCACCCGGCGCTGGCAGGAGCTCGTCCCGCTGACCACGGAGACGGGGATGCCATGGCCAAACCCCCCCGGTCCCCGGGCACCGGCC